TGCATTTGTCATTTTTTATGGACAAATTTTAGGATATATGGATTCTTTAAAGGAGTTTCTGAAAAAATGGAAATGAGAGCATTTATTTGCTATATTTGAAGGTAAGAGACCTAATATTTGAAGGTATAAGAGACCTAAATTACCTAATGCACCTGTTTAGATAATGCATGCGTGACTATAGATAAAATAAGAATATAGGTATCGATTTTTTATGCAAATAATTACAAAAATTTTAGAAATTCAAGTCGTCGCCGTATTAAAAAATTCAAAATGACCAAAGCTTATAATTTTAATAATTTATTTGCTTTACTTTGATTAATCGTGATGTAACAATTTTTTGTAATTTGTAGAGTGATGAACCCCCCCAAAAAAATACCAAGGAGTGAAGAAGCAGAAATAACTACTATCGAGGAAAATAATATCACTTTACTTACTACAGACCAGGAAAACCTAAATTTATCAGAAAATAATATACCTCGTAATATGCCTGTATATGATATATAGACTTCTCTTAGATCAAAATAAATTTTAGTTGAGTCAATGGTGTTCGCTATTGGTTTAAGAAAAGTGTCTCTTTAATCAAGAAATGTCTCTTTTCAATCAAGGATTTTTGCATGAATCAAAGAGACTATTGTTCTTGTAACAAGAACTTCCTTGCATATTCATTTTGGGTCAAGAGTGAAATACTTTGGACAGATAGATTCTTCTATTCTCTAAAGTAGTGAAATCATAAAGCTTATGAAAAGATAGTTAATGCTTTGGGCAAAGAAACGTCGTTCTTGGCCCTATTGAAAAGCGCCAATCTTTTGAGTCAAAGTCATATTCATTTCGACTAAGAGATCCTTCTTTTCAGTGTAGGATGGTTATGGATGCACCCTTCAGAAGTTACTTCTACGTTTAAATGTTAATTTTTATATGTTTACTTCTGGTTTAGATCTAGTTTAGGGACGTAGTAGGGTTGTGAATACTAACCGGTTTTTCAGTGTCGACGACCTGAATGGTAATAACTGGAAAGTTAGTCTGATGTCTCTGTACTTATTTGTTTATTTTACAGGAACCGATACTTTTAGAAGAATATGAATTTTTTTATTCAAGTAGATTTTACAAATTTTATTTGAATTAAATTGAGTCGATATAAACTAATGGACTAACTCACGTGTTTTATAGGTATCTAGTCTGAAGATGTGGAGTAATAGTTGTTTTCATTTAAATATTGACATAAAAATTATAGTACGTTATTCTGAAAACGTAATTAACATAAACCAATAATATGTATCACAGGAATGGGGCCGACACAAGGTATATGTTGTAGAAATAGATCATCATCATTTTCAGCTTATTCAACCATTTCCAATTATGGTGTGGCCTCCATTACATATTCTCTTTGTAGTTGGACCCATTGCTATCTATTGTTGGCTATGCGGGCCCAAGTTATTCCTGCTAATTTCCTAATATCATGATCCCATCTCAGGTTCGGTCTTCTTCTATTTCTCTGAAGTCCTCGTGGGTACCATGCTGCACTGAAAAAAAGGATCTCTCAGTCGAAATGAATATGACTTTGACCCAAAGGATTGGCGCTTTTCAATAGGGCCAAGAACGACGTTTCTTTGCCCAAAGCATTAACTCTCTTTTCTTAAGCTTTAAAAAATTACTTTAGAGAATAGAAGAATCTATCTGTCCAAAGTATTTCTCTCTTGACCCAAAATTAATATGCAAAGAAGTTCTTGTTACAAGAACAATAGTCTCTTTGATTCATGCAAAAATTCTTGATTGAAAAGGGACATTTCTTGATTAAAGAGACACTTTTCTTAAACCAATATCGAATACCATTGACTCAACTAAAATTTATTTTGATCTAAGAGAAGTCTATACATCATATACAGGCATACAGGCATATTACGAGGTATATTATTTTCTGATAAATTTAGGTTTTCCTAGTCTGTAGTAAGTAAAGTGATATTATTTTCCTCGATAATAGGTAGTTATTTCTGCTTCTTCACTCCTTGGTTCATCACTCTACAAATTACAAAAAAATGTTACATCACGATTAATCAAAGTAAAGCAAACAAATTATTAAAATTATAAGCTTTGGTCACATTTTGAATTTTTTAATACGACGACTAATTCTAAAATTTTTGTAATTATTTGCATAAAAAATCGATACCTATATTCTTATTCTATCTATAGTCAGGCATGCATTATCTAAACAGGTGCATTAGGTAAATGTCTCTTACCTTCAAATAAAGCAAATAAATGCTCTAATTTCCATTTTTTCAGAAACTCCTTTAAAAAATTCATATATCCTAAAATTTGTCCATAAAAAATGACAAATACATATAACGATCACTAATTTGTTATATGATATGCGTTTAATAATAATCCTTAGTCATGGTCTTTGCGTGTGGTTATTATTTTTCATCAAATATTTAGCTATTGGAAAAATGGCCATGTTTCTTGAATGAAGTACTTCCTAGCGTATTTTTGTTATTATCTTAAAACAAATTAACTTTGCACTTGGTTGAATGAAAATAGATTCAAGAGAAATTTTCGAATTTTTCAAGAGAACAAGTTTTCTTGAGTTAAGAGACTTTTTCTTCAAGGAACATATTTTTTTTACGCTGAAATAAATTCTCTTGCCACTAAATTTTTTTTTTCAAGAACGATGACGACTTTAGTTCAAGTCTATCTTTTTTATCAGTGCATCTCATCTCTCATATAATCATGACCTACTAAGTAGCCAAATTCATCTAACCCTTATAGTGTTTCTAATGCATTTATTCCAATATAGGTCTAAATTTAGAACACCTTATTACATTTTAGTATTCCTAAACTAAAAGACGTTCAGGTAAAAGGATTCTACTCATCATCAATAAAACTGAATTTATTGCGTCGGAATTTAATATTTCATGCTTTCAAGTTCCATTAAAAGCCATTAATCTCGACCGCATTCAAAATTCCTGCTAATGAGCGCGCCCGTCCGAAGTTATTATCAGTTTGGCGAATCATTATCGACAGCAAACGCTGGGTGGTACAAGATTGAAGGGGAATTGGCGGTGGATAGTGTTGTAATGGAGAGAACGTTTCCATTTGTGACGAAGGAACGTTCGAGAAGGTCCAGAATCATTGTGCCGGGAACGTTCCTTTATAAGCACTAACGAGAACGTTCAATATACACAATTTTTATGATAGAAATGAAAAATAGTATTAGTAAAAATAGTATTTCCTCTAGAGCATATATATATATATTTGTAATTATGGTGTAGCCTCACATATTTACCTATAGATACTCTCATTGAAGTTGGGCCCATTGTTGTACATTTTTGGCTATGTGATCCCAAGTTATCCCTGCTAATTTCCTACACTGAAAAAAAGGATATCTCAGTCGAAATGAATATGACTTTGATCCAAAAGATTGGCGCTTTTCAATAGGGCCAAGAACGACGTTTCTTTGCCCAAAGCATTAACTATCTTTTCATAAGCTTTAAAAAACTACTTAAGAGAATAGAAAAATCTATCAGTCCAAAGTATTTCACTCTTGACCCAAAATTAATATGCAAAGAAGTTCTTGCTACAAGAACAATAGTCTCTTTGACTCATGCAAAAATTCTTGATTGAAAAGGGACATTTCTTGATTAAAGAGACACTTTTCTTAAACCAATAGCGAATACTATTGACTCAACTAAAATTTATTTTGATCTAAGAGAAGTCCATAACATCATATACAAGGAATATTACGAGGTATATTATTTTCTGATAAATTTAGGTTTTCCTGGTCTGTAGTAAGCACAGAACAGATACAAATCAGAAATTTCACTGAACGTCGGTGCCTTTCAAGTGTGTTGTAAGAATTCCGTTCCTCGCGCACAGATTTCATCCTCCTGCGCGCCGCACAGCTGATCATTAGTTGACGGCTTTAAACGAGTCAGGGTCGAACTCAGATACGTGTGAATCGTGACAGGAGCGTATTTCGTTTTTTAACAGTATTTATTTGAAAAAAGTAATATTTAGTAGTGACAAAATAAATAATGTGTAAAAATAATACGAAAAATCATGCCAATTGATTCAAATGTTTAAAGCGTTATTTTACAAAAAAAAACGTGTTCGTTGAGTTGAGTCATTGTTTTGTATCTCGTTTTTCTAGAAATAAAAATATTTAATTTTTAAAGAGAAAAATCACAAAAATAATTCGGACAAGGCGGGTTTTGTGGCAGTATGATACATATTGCGGGTTTTGTTGCAGTATGATGCATCTTGCGGGTTTTGCTACATCAAGATATTTGCATCCTAACTTGATTTATTAGATAATATGATATTTTATTAAAATTAGGTAAGGAAATTGAAATGGATAAGACGTCAGTAGTAAGGTATTAATATTATACTTGTGTAAAGGGGCCTATGAAAAAAATGCAGGATTTGCAATAAGTAATAAGGATTTTGCTGCAGTAACCTAATTTGTAGTGAATTTTTTATAGGAATAAGCGACTTTTAACTGCAGTTTGGGACTATGTTTATGTAAATTTCAGGGTCCCAGTATAAGCTTGACGCTGTCATGATTTTATGATTCAGCAATTTTAAATTTTTTCAATACAAACCTTCATTTGAAAATGTAGACAGAACATAATAAAAACAATTTGACTGAAATAAAATAACATTTTATTTGTTATTATAAATATGCAAAAATTATACGTATAATGCTAGCAATGTGATATTAGGTACAACATCTAATACAATTACTTAAATGTAAATGATCCTAAAATTTATTAATACAAATGAAAAATTAAAAAAAAAAGATAAATATCTATGATCTAACTAAGCTTATCTATACATAACACACAGTCCTTATCCATATCTTGCATAGATGCAGTTTTAGTTTTTATTGCCTCAAAAACAAATTTATTTAATCCGGAATATATTTCCCAGTTGTTAGTTAACCTATGGAGAGTGCTCTTGGAAGGTAAGCAAAGTGGCTTTCTTAAAAATGTATATGTATTTGGACTTAAAAAATAAATTGTTAATGCAAATTGTTTAAATTTGTTGGTATATCGGTATCCATGTGATTTCCTTGAGGAATTTTGTAAGCAAAGTTCAATAAAATTAGCCATTGACGAAGAGGAGTGTTCCTTACAGAAATCTATAAAGTCTTCATTTGTAACATTTGTTTTGTCAGTCTTCAGATGAAATTCCAACTTTCTTTTCAAACTTCTAATTCGTAACCTTAACCCATGTTTTCTTGGACTGTGTGCACTAAGGGATATAGGTGTCTGTTGTGAAAAATCTATACAAACAAGAAATAAAAAAATATTATTTATCTATTTGAAATATTGATCTTCTCTAAATATTATAAAAACAAACTACCAAAAAAAATATTTATTGAAAACTGGAATTCTATATCCTATATTAGTATGGAAGTACAGATTTATATAGGGTGGCGCACCTCATTCGCCTCAGTTGATTGTACGACAACAGAAAGATGTAGAAATCTACTAGGCAGAAACCTGTCGGTGGAAGTGAAGAAAATGAATTTGTCTTAGTTGGTTCTTTTATAGAAAATCCAATATATCTACAAGTCATCGTAATATAAATCAAATAACTACTTCTTTATTTTTCTTGATAAAATAATAAATACTTATTAAACTATTGTAGGTAAATTAAATAAAAATAAACTGTTATAAATTTAAATAAAGTCCATAAACTAATATCGATTTTGAAAAGAGCTACTAACTGTCACTAGCAAATTGCCATGACGACACCAGCCATCTTGATTGCCATTTTATTGAAAAGTCGCTCTTATTCAAAATCTGAGCCAGATAGGTATAGGAAACCCTAATATAGTTTGAAAGAGCATATAATTAAAAAAAGTTAAATCTGTTTCGACATATAATAAAAATAATAATAAAAAAGTTAAATCTGCTTCGACATATTTTAAAAAATACATAGTGTTGTATTTGAAATAACGAAGTTTTTATGTAAAGTAAATATTTAAAATAGACCAGCAATTTTTGATACCCCTGTATACATTTAAGGATGCAATACATTTTTTTAGTAAAGTTTATTTCTCTGGCTTCAAAGTCAGCACAAGAATTAACTCTTAAAAATTAATGTACAGGGTGTTGACAAACTTTGTTATTATAACATGCATATTTAAATGTCTTTAACTATCTCAAAAACCAAAGCTTTTAAACATATTCAACCCTTATAATAAATACCTTATTTTATGTCCAAGAATCCAAAAATGAAATAAAATACCGGGTGTGTTCCGTAAGAAAAAATATAACTTTGGTATGGATCTTAGTTCTGACACACCCTGTACATTTCAAAATAATTTTAAATTAATTTAAATTTTAAATTGCCTTTCCACATATACCCATAAAATATTTTGTTGCTATTTAATTAATATTTCTTTACGTTTTCGTATAATCAACCGAGGCGAATGAGGTGCGCCACCCTGTATTTAGCCTTGTGTTTATAAAGTATTTTACTCACCTTCAGATGTAACTTCCTTGGATGTTGATGGAATAGCGATTACATCTAGTGAAGTAGATTCTGAAACAGCTGAAAACATAAAAAAATATTTATTGAAAACTGGAATTCTATACCCTATTGCATTGTGTTTAAAAGGTTAAAAAAAATAGTATTTTACTCACCTTCAGATGTATGAACATCAGGAATAGTAGCTTCAACTTCCATCATGGAATTGTCTACAAAAATATATTTATTTAATTTTTTTGAGCATAACACAAACACAATTTTAAGAGGCAAAATTGAAAGCTAAATGTTATTGTCAAACGTTTTTGTTTTTCAGTAATATAGTATTTGTCATAAAAATATTGAAAATATTACACAGAACCACCACGAACAGACTGAAACTGGATTTTCTAAGTGCCTATCTATAAACAATTTTTGTTTATTTAAATGTTCGTTTGTGCAAGTGTATAAATCGATTGTGCAGATAAACAAGCAACTGATGATTTGAAAAAAATAACAAGTAAAATGAATAACAATGCTTATGAACCCACCTGACATCAATAAAGTTGGAACAGCAAATTTCTTTAGACGGCTTTGAGACATTCCCGCAAACATGGTAGGTTGAAAGTGTTTTCCACAAACTCTATACCCTCTATGCAAATCTATAGGTGATTTTGCTCTAAAATCCTGCCTGTTGCAGTTCTTAACCCACTCAGAACATCTAGAATTTATTAAAATATTTTTCGTTATTTAATAGATGATTGTACATACATGAGTCTGTCAAAAACATTAGAATTTCTAAAAAATCTTACTAGATTGTTTAACATTCTAGAGGAAACATTCCTTATTGTGTAGATAAAAAATATTTATGTACCTTTTTGGATCCAATGTGAATGAAAAGAAGCTAAGACCCATATCAGCCTCCGTATTGCTTAAACAGCCGGGACCACAGCAGTAACGAACGCCCATTATAAACAAAATTGTCAAACAAATATAGTCACAAAATATCACAAACACACCACAATGTAAATTAAAATTATTTTAATTTACTTTTCCGCCCGTTCATATGACATTCACACTTTTATGTTAGAAATGTTGAGCAACGTTGTCAGTTGTCAGATTTTAACAAAGAAATTCCTGAATCTTTAATTACCATTGCAATAATAAATTTTTTATATTTAGCAGTAAAGCAAAATAGAGTGCAAAACTGACGATGTCTGTAGGTTTTATTTATTCTAAAATCAATTTCAATTGTTTTGATTTAAATATTTCAATGATAATATTTTTTAACTTTTTTTGTGCAGAAAATGAGGTAAATTTTTGTTACATTTCGTACTACGTCGCAAAATGTTTCACCCAAGGGACGTTGCCATGCCGCGTTTTTCGTAATAATAATGTTAATTTTTAAGCATACTTTAATTTTCCAAATATATCAAATTCCTCATAATTATGTATATTCGGTAATTCTTGTATACTTGCGTCACTTATTTCGTGAAAGAAATGCTAAATGAGTGAAGAAATGTAGCCGTGGGATTATAATATAAAAATACATTTTTCAAGTACTGAGAATTATGGGTTACCTTGGCAACCTCACAAAATCCTTGCGCATGGTTTTGAGCCGCCTGCGCGCATATAACATAAAAAATTAAATCTTGACAACGGAAATCCCATAAGTGAAATTTCTGATTTGTATCTGTTCTGTGGTAGTAAGTAAAGTGATATTATTTTCCTCGATATATATTATTTCTGCTTCTTCACTCCTTGGTATTTTTTGGGGTTGTTCATCACTCTACAAATTACAAAAAAATGTTACATCAAGATTAATCAAAGTAAAGCAAATAAATTATTAAAATTATAAGCTTTGGTCACATTTTGAATTTTTTAATACGACGACTTGAAATTCTAAAATTTTTCTAATTATATTTGCTTAAAAAAATCGATACCTATATTCTTATTCTATCTATAGTCATGCATGCATTATCTAAACAGGTGCATAGGTAAATGTCTCTTACCTTCAAATATAGCAAATAAATGCTCTAATTTCCATTTTTTCAGGAACTACTTTAAAGAATCCATATATCCTAAAATTTGTCCATAAAAAATGACAAATGCATGTTAAAACGATCACTAATTTGTTATACGATATGCGTTTAAAAAGCAAATTATGCAAAATTCCAAGTGGAAAATTCGAAGTAACAAAACCCGTGCGTACTATGATGTGCGACATATGAAATGCGACGTGAGACTGATCGGACTGCCGACTGATTCTATATACCGTACTTCGTCATCGTCTTTGCGTGTCGTTATTATTTTTCATCAAAAGAGTATTTAGCTATTGGAAAAATGACCATGTTTTTTGAATGAAGTACTTAATTCCTAGCGTATTTTTGTTATTATCTTAAAACAAAGTAACTTGCACTTGGTTGAATGAAAATAGATTCAAGAGAAATTTTCGAATTTTTTAAGAGAACCAGTTTTCTTCAGTTATAAGAGAGTTTTTCTTCAGGCAAAATATTTTCTTTTACGCTAAAATAAATTCTCTTGCCACTAAATTTATTTTTTTCAAGAACGATGACGACTTTAGTTCAAGTCTATCTTTTTTATCAGTGTACCAAATACAAACGCGTATATACAACATTCCAGCACATAGTTCGACATTATCGCCGCATAGAGGTAAAAGAGAGAGAGACGATTATGAATGGAATGATTTTGTGTGTAAAGCGACGAAAGAGGTCACGCTTCCGGCTCGATGACGATCGGATAGACGGTCCGGGCGGTGCAGCGACGGGCGGGGGGAAACGACTGTTTTTATCCGTGTTACGGCGTGTCCTTGAGAACGGACGCGTATCGGTACCGCACCGACGCCGACGGACGTATGTCCTTCCAATCGTTGGCGGACTACGGCCAGGGCGGTCAAACAACTTCAAATTTTAGATATGAATAATAAAAATGATGCCCCGATGAATGAATAAAAAAGTGGTATGTTTACATGCGGCATATAAGCAACAACCAACACGATCTCTTACTAAATGAAACTGTTAGCGTCAGGGTTGCCACAAGAAAATTTTTGATTTGCAGAACTTGACCGTAAAAATGTGTAACCATCCATGACCAATAACTGTAAACTATCCATGCAATAAAGACGTACGTTCATCAAATTTTAAAGCTTGATTACGAGTCTCATACTGATAAAAAAAGATAGACTTGAACCAAAGTCGTCATTTATTTTAGCGTGAAAGAAAATATTTTGCCTGAAGAAAAACTCTCTTAACTCAAGAAAACTTGTTCTCTTGAAAAATTCGAAAATTTCTCTTGAATCTATTTTCATTCAACCAAGTGCAAGTTACTTTGTTTTAAGATAATAAGAAAAATACGCTAGGAAGTACTTCATTCAAGAAACATGGCCATTTTTCCAATAGCTAAATACTCGTTTGATGAAAAATAATAACGACACGCAAAGACGATGACGATGGACGGTATTTACAAACAATCGGCAGTCCGATCAGTCTCACGTCGCATTTCATAGGTCGCACATCATAGTACGCACGGGTTTTGTTGCTTGGAATTTTCCACTTGGAATTTTACATAATTTGCTTTTTAAACGCATATCGTATAACAAATTAGTGATCGTTATTAACATGCATTTGTCATTTTTTATGGACAAATTTTAGGATATATGGATTCTTTAAAGGAGTTTCTGAAAAAATGGAAATTAGAGCATTTATTTGCTATATCTGAAGGTAAGAGACATTTAGATAGAATAAGAATATAGGTATCGATTTTTTATGCAAATAATTACAAAAATTTTAGAATTTCAAGTCGTCGTATTAAAAAATTCAAAATGTGACCAAGGCTTATAATTTGAATAATTTATTTGCTTTACTTTGATTAATCGTGATGTAACATTTCTTTGTAATTTGTAGAGTGATGAATCACTCCAAAAAATACCAAGGAGTGAAGAAGCAGAAATAACTACTATCGAGGAAAATAATATCACTTTACTTACTATAGACTAGGAAAACCTAAATTTATCAGAAAATAATATACCTCGTAATATGCCTGTATATGATGTATAGACTTCTCTTAGATCAAAATAAAATTTAGTTGAGTCAATGGTATTCGCTATTGGTTTAAGAAAAGTGTCTCTTTAATCAAGAAATGTCCCTTTTCAATCAAGAATTTTTGCATGAATCAAAGAGACTATTGTTCTTGTAGCAAGAACTTCTTTGCATATTCATTTTGGGCCAAGAGTGAAATGCTTTGGACAGATGGATTATTCTATTCTCTAAAGTAATTTTTTAAAGCTTATGAAAAGATAGTTAATGCTTTGGGCAAAGAAACGTCGTTCTTGACCCTATTGAAAAGCGCCAATCTTTTGGGTCAAAGTCATATTCATTTCGACTGAGAGATCCTTTTTTTCAGTGAGTGAAACACATAAACTGATAGAGTCAACAATTAAGACAAAACTTTGTTTTTTTACCGGCTACGAATAAACCTAAGGACCTGAATAAACATGCTTCCTTGAGGATAACGGGTAACGGGGAACCCAAAGAATGCAAAGAATGTAATACTCTCGTTACGATGGCCGAAGACGGAACTCCTAAGTGACAAACTAAACTATGACCGTTAATTTAATGGACTTTCATGCATATTATTTTTGTCTTTGTCTTCGCGTTCCGCGTGCCGACGTAACGGTTGTTTATGACGTTGTTTTTATTACAGTGAGGCGGTCCGACTGGCGTGTTTCAAATCATTTAAAACCACCTGTCGTTTGGCAGCTGAGATTTTAATTTGGACCTTGATAAGACTCAGACATTTTACCAGCGTTTACAGGTTTTTAATACAACAGAGTTCTTTTAAAAAGAACAAAAAAGGCTTGCGTCAAGGTTGTTGCATCTCCCCTACTCTCTTTAAAATATACGTTGCAGTCGCTTTAAAAAATTGGAAAAGAAAGATCCGTGGTATGGGCATAGAGATTGACAATAAATGTTTGTTCACACTTCAATTCGCAGACGATCAAATAATAGTTGCCAATGACAAAGATGATATGCAATATATGCTAAGAAAACTTAT